CCCTGTACAGTGAGGTGAGAGCACAGCGTCAGCGACAGAACAGTGCCTCAGGGACTGTGGGGGATTTAGTGTCTTGCTCGGGGACGCTTTAGCAGGGTGGTTACTGGAACAGGGGACTGAGAACCTGGGCCTTTTCTGTTCAGGGTCAGTTTCTCTAATGACTTCAACCCACTCTTTCACTCCCACTCGCTCGCAGGTGTATTTCAGATAAGAGGGGAAACACGCAATGTACCATTAATAAAACACAAAACACTTCCTGGGGTTCTTCTAGGGTAACATTTTGTTACCAGCGATTGTCAGGATTTTACCTGTACTGTTGTTTTTCTAGCCTAAAATCAATCCCATCCATCCATTTTCTCTCCCTCCCAGGGGCCTGAGCGTGTCCCAGCATGCATTGGATTAAAACATAGGACAGGCTGCCAGTTTATCGCAGGGCTCTGATCAACTGATATGCATAAATCATTTGGTATACAGTTTCCTAAATCAGAGGGGTATATTATTTATCTCCCTATTTAGTGCTAGCCACATCACCTTGTTTTTGTTCCCGCCATTTTGTATAACTTTGATCTCATCTGAACATTAGACTACTGGTCAGCCGGACAGTATATGCGGGAATATCAATGGATTGATGGAACAACAGTGCCGTTCAAAGCAGATGGGAATCAAAGCTCTGTGCAGCTCAAACAGGCTTTCTAATTAACAATTGATTGTGTCTGTTGGCTAATAAATCCTTTGCTGCCATGCAAAAGCACTAGCAGCTAGGGTGTTGATGTTTTTATTCATCATTGAAGAAGGTGACAATGAATTGTGGACAATCAGTACTGTAGAGGCAACATTAATTTAGTTTTAGTCCTTTCGTTGCTAGTTGCGTTCTCCAGCTGTAAATGAAGCTTGCTTGTGTAGGTATATCGACTAAGAGCATCCCAATAAACAGACTATTTATATACCTGCACCTTCACCACATCACCCACCTGGGTGTATTTTGTGTTGCTTCTGCACTACTGTTCACCAAGTGCAGAAGCTGTGTTGCAATCAGCAACATCGCCAGGAAATAATGTTTATGGCATGTCTGTCTCACGGATGTCAAATGAGAAGGAATATTAGTGTTCTGAGCTATTAGGAGAGCAGAGACTGGGGCTGACAATGGAAGACACGAGAGTCTCGCAGTCTCCTCAGCAACGGATATTTTTAGAGGTGGTTTTCAAGACATGGCTCAGATCTTAAGAGCGGTAGAGGATGAGGGGTGGGAGAGAAATACACTGCTTAGGAAGTTTTCAGCAGTATCTGCAGAATAAAGGCTGCTTCACTTTATCAGTAGATTTGACTTTCCACTTATACTTGTGTACAGATTGTTTTTGCAATAGGTCAGTGGGAAAATTAGCTAAACCGGAAAATAATTAATGTTTTGATTTATTTTTCCCTTTGTGAGACCTAAAGCAAGTTTGGTTTTACACAAGCCACTGATTGATAATCTGCAGAGATTACATTCAAGTAATTCTGATGTATAACTATAATTAATCAACAGATGATCCTGTATGACTCTGGAGACACGAACAATAAGGTAAATGCTGGGGGGTTCAGGGCTGCTACACATTTGTAATGAATTGTTTTATAATTGTCTTTCTCTGTGTTCTCGTGTTTTCATCAACATTAGGTGGGAGATGGTGGTCTGGCTCAGTTTAAGGGAAGTCTGATGAGAAGCGGTGTGTAGACAGGAGGAGGGGGAGTCTTTAAGTTTATCTCCGTAATTACATCCTGTGCAAAGTGTTTTATTGAAAATCTGATTCCTCTAAAGAGATGTGTTTCATTAACAAAAAAGTAATATAAAATATGTAATGAGCAAGACCTATAATTAACAAGATCAATTAAAAGCCACTTCGGTTGTATGAAAAGCTTGCTTTGGAACAGCCTGATATAGCGGAATCAATGTATGATTTTTCATTATCCAAACATAAAATAAAAAATATTGTATACATTAGGTTTGTATGTTTGTTGTATGTACTGTACAGTATATATCTGGATGATGTGTTGTAGTGAACGATGTTAGGAATAAAGGAGGCTCGCGGTCTCCGAGGATTAATTGCAGAACAGAAAAACAGATATGCATACTTGGAGCAGGTAGGGATTGAGGGTCCTGCTTACTAGCTGCTCCCTGTCATGGAGTTTGAATTGGGGTCCTCGAGTCAAGGGACCATGTCTTAGACCATCAAGTACATGGAGAGGAATGGATAGACAGATGCATGGATGAATGGATAGTGTTAGCAATAAAACAAATTGCCGTGTCTACCGTACAACTAACAGAGTTACAACAGTTCAGTGTGCCTCAAATCCCACAGGCCGGGATCTTACCCTCCCCCGGTCCTCCTGGTATTCTCTCCGGAGGTTAAGCAATGGTGCAGCCTGCTGCCGGGGATGTGAGAAGAGAAGAAAAGGAAGGGATGAGTGCTCTGCTTCCAAACAGCAGATGTTGGGGGAATGGGGGACTGAAGTAGCAGTGAGGCAAACACATAGAATGTAATGATTGATGGAGTCTCTGAAAGCAGAGAGCTGCTGCTATGCCACTGCTAAATTTCCCAGGTGTCTGTCTAGGTAGTTTAAGTGTAATGGCACAGAGAGGTAGACAGATAAACCTCTGCTTCAGTTTAAACAAAGCCTCAACAATAAGGAGCACGTAAATTGGAGATAGGTCCACAAATGTTGTGAACTTTGAAATGTTTCTTGCATACTTTCATATATTTAGTTTAACTTGTTGTTCAGTAAAACACCTGCGTCCAGACGCATAAAACTCTGTTAGTTCACAACTTATTTCCTCTCCTAAGGTTCGCCCTAAATGGACATAGACGTGTCTTTAATCCACAATTTGCATATCAATTATTCTGTACACCTATTAGCAAAGAAGTAGCAAAATTTCACAGATTGTGTTGTACGTGTGGTTCTCCAACAAGACCACAGCAGCTGTCATTGCTCGTGACGACTGTTTGGCCCTAGCTATTTATAGCACACGTATCATTCATTTGTCAAATGTACCTCTAACAGAGATATTTCACTCACCATGATTATCATTAAGTGTCAGGGATGCAATCAATGATTTTGTTTACTCTCATATCGAAACATACTTCACAAAGTGCTTTACAATGAAGGAGAAAATGAGAACATCATGCACACAGAAATGAAATGATGCCTCAAATGTTTATATATATATGTGTGTGATTAAATCAAGCACATAAGGGTAATGAATCAAAATAAAACTTTGATTTTACAGATCACTGTGAAGACAGAAAAAACAACAACAACAACAACCAAACAATGTTTTATTATTAGATTCTGTCTTTTCACTTCACTTTCTCCACTCCACCTTATCACATCACCCTCAGGCCACTCTAAAAGAAAATGTGTACGACTGGTCTGGAGTATGTGTGAGGTGGTTTTTGTTCATATGTATGGTTTATGGGTCTGGCCACAGTTTGTAGTATAATATCTGTGTTGGAACGTTTGTAATTTCAGACTCTTGAATGGTGCAGTCTTTGTTAAATGTGATATTCAGGTTTGGTTTTGGAAGTGGAAAAAATAAGTAAATTAGGGAATTGATGAGTCTGAGTGCCTGAGTGCAAAAGCATCTCCCAACAGCAGACATGTGCCAGTACACAGAAAGGCAGGAGTCTATTCCATTATCCATTAACTAGCCAAGTGAATGTATAAGCCAGAATTGTGGTGTTCTAGCTGTGACATGCATGACCACAGGAATCCAAACAGTATACACGCAGTCTTTCTAAAAAAATAAATTAAAAAAAAGGGAAAAAAGCCCTAGTGGAATTGCAAAGCCACGGGTTTGAAGAAAAAGGAAACATCATTAAATTCATCCACAGCGTACAATCAGAACAACAGTGCAGGCCACTGACTGAAGCCCCACACTGACTTAAGTGGAAGTGACTTTTTGTACCCATGAGCAGAGCAGCCCAGCATCACTGTTAATTTAATAGCATTTCCTATTGTTTACTCATATTTCCAGTTTCCCAACCTATTATTATCTGAGCTGGGGCCTGGCTTTGTTTTTACTGTGTGAGTCTGGCTGCCGTGAACTTAACTAAAGTGTATTGTTCCTGCATTGATTGTTCATCGGGCTGGCTTTGTACTGTGTTACGAAAGGGAAGTTCATTAGCATGCACATACTCTCTGTGGCATTTTGGCAAGGTGACAAAAGAGTTATCCTGAAATTTTGCATTGGGAATTAAAAGGCCTTAGCTTGTTGGTAACCAAGGGACATCCCCTGCTGCCTTTAGATTTGTGTTCAATACATACATACATAGCATTGCTAAGAGGGTGAGGACTCTCTTTAAACTGATCTGTGGTGTAGCTATTGTGCTGGCCAGAGCCTAATAAGCAAAATAAATCAATAATACTGGACAATACTATAGGTTTTACCAGCATGCAATTTTGACTGATTTAATTGGAAATTTCAGTAATGCATTTAATGGTTCAGTCTTTCTTCAGGCAAGAACAAGACTTTTTTGATTTTAGAATATAGTAAACAGTTGCTTTTAAGTTGAACAAATTTAAACAACCAATGTAATAAGAAAAATGACAAATGGAACCAGTTTTCAATTACAAAATTTATGTACTTCCAAATGTTGCCCAATTCCCATGGTTTCACTGGCAAGACCATAAACTGAATTGATGGGCCTCCATGTCTCAAAATTGCCCCTTGTGGTTCTAGGAAAGATTTTTTTTAATAACTTCTCTCATGCTGTAAAATATGGCACCTGCACACCTTTAATAGTGCATCTATCATAAAAAAAGTCCATAGGATTGAACAAGATAAGTTAAAAGAAAGTTTTTTTGGGGTGACCAAGAGTTTGCAAAAGACACACCTGAAATTGTAGCATTAATATGTACTTGATGTGAAATGTCTTGTAGTGAGTTATTTTCAGACATTTAACAGGAGAAAATGCATCTTTTTTTCTCAAACCTGTTCAATTTCAAAACTTTTGTCTTCCATTTAGGTGGTCTGTGCATTTCCCAGTCTGTGAAAATACCACGTGAACCACGATCTGGAGAGTTTGACAAGATCATTCGCAGGCTGAGTGAAAACCCTAATGCCCGAGTAGTGATTATCTTTGCCAATGAGGACGACATCAGGTGAGTGCGGTGGAATCCTGATTGCTGTCAGTTAATATAACTTTTAACCTCACTTATATTAACCACTTTTAACTGCTTTTCTTTATAACATTCACCTGACAATTGTTTTCCTTAAATGAAAATATACTGAGTTTTGATAATTAGTTGAAATAAAGCTGTTTAAGAGTTTTCAAAATCTGCTAACATATGCAGTCTTAAATGTTGTTTAGTAATGTCTTTACCTGAGGCTGCCTTTTACAACTGGCGTTAACATGTCACAAATGTCTCCTGTGTGTGTAAGGAAATCAAATTGCATTTTCCCTGTAAAATACAGTCTGCAACCCAAATGTTAATATCTAGAATGAGTTATACAAATCTGATTATATTTGGGTGTATTTACATTTTCTTAAGCCTTCTCACTGAAGTTGTCGTCACAGGTATACTACAGGCAAGTGAAATTGAAACACTAAAAAACCTAACAATGCTGTGATCTAATGCAACCTAACAGCACTGCAAATAACTACTACCCACAGATGCAAATTAATTCAGTACATTAACTAAGTACATTCAAGTACTGTAGTTGTACTGTAATCAAGTATAATCTTGAGGTGCTTGCTCTTTACTTGAGGATTTCCATTCTATGCTACAGTACTTTGGACTTTTCCAAGTCCAAAGTTGACTTTTCCAAAGTCCAAAGTACTCCATTACATTTCAGAGGGATATACTGCACTTTTTACTCCACTACATTTATTTCATTGTATTCATCTAAGTCTTAAGTTACAGTTACATCCAAGAGTATAAAGTATGAGAGTGACGGGCCCGTTCGGCATCTGAGGGTCTCTGAGTCTGAGGGTTTCTCCTCCCACAGTATCAACTTTAGTTTACATACAAAACCAAGTGTCTAAAAATGGTGGTTCAATTTTGCTCATAATGATTCTATGCTTTACTTAAAGAGGTGGTATTATGCTCATTTTCAGGTTCAAAATCTTATTTAGGGGTTGTACCAGAATAGGTTTAAATTTCAAAAAACACAATATTTTTCCTCAATATTTGTCATACTGGACATTGCTGCAGCTCCTCTTTTCACCCTGTGTGTTGAAGGCTTCGTTTTGGCTATGGAGTGATACATCTTGCTTCTACATGATCTTTGTTGGGAGCTGCACATGTGCAGTTCCTAGTTAAGGACTACTAGCCAATCAGAAGCAGAGAAGGGCGGGTCAGTGAGAAGCTGGTCAACATTCGGCTTCGATTCAGCTGTATGCCTTTACCATCTTAGTAACATAGACTAGAGCCAGAGTTTTAGTTTGGTGAGTTACTAATCTATAACAAAAGTATCTTTCATCCATAAAGTTTAAACTGAGCTCTGTCTCTACATCCCAGTAACAACTTTCTGACCATTGACTGCCTGGAGGGTAGCTAGTGTTTCAAAGGGAGAGGACAGGTGTGCTGCAGCTCAGTGTTTTCCACCGGTGTTTGAGGGCGTGTCAAGACTAGCGCTTGGCGAGCGTTATATTCCCTTTCATCCCTGTGATCCACAGGGATGAAAGGGAATAATGGCTGGACTACAAACGAGCTGTTTCAGAGCAGTTCAGAGCAGTGTTTGCTGTGGGAGATGGGAACTCCCTTTTAGGGCTGAACAATTAATTGCATTTGCGATATTATCGCAATGTGATAAAACAACATTTTCTAATCGCAAAGGCTGCAATTATACTCTAGTCACATGACACCCAAGAGTAAAGCAGTCTGCAGACGAAGCATCAACTTTGCACGTTACGCTGTACCTTGACTTCTTGTTGTACAATGGCCTTAAGCTTGACAGAAGTTGACACTACAGAATCCTAAGTGTCACAAAGGGAATGAAAGTAGCACCCACCACCCGCGAGTAACATGGTGGTGGTGGTGGGTGAAATTGTCGGGCCATCCGCCACTTTGACAGACAGGAAAAATGCACAACAGAAAGACCATGTAGTAAGATAAGCATATTGTGGCGATCAACACCTGCATCTCACACACAGCCACCAGTCAACTCAGGAAATATCTGTGAAACGGTATTTCAAACCAAACACACAAGTCCAAAAGAGGCCCAGTCTGTCCCGAGTTACTGCCAGTGCGCTGCTTACCAGCATCGGAGGCACAGGGGTAGGGGAATTCCGGTGTTGTTTTGTTTGCTTACTGAGATAGATGGACTCCTAGGAAATCTGAACTCAGATAAGGACTCATTAATTGGTCGTTGAAATGTGGGTTTTGCTTTGAGCTCTTCATAACACAGGCCTGTGTTGGCCGCACTATACACTGATTTACTGCTTTTGAATAATACACAAGGTAAAGAAGTAAAAAATTAATCACATATTAAATAGCAATCACAATATTGGTTCAAAAAAATTGCAATTAGATTATTTTTCAAACTCGTTCAGTAATACTACCTTTGGGCTGGACTTTGGGCTTTTTCACTTTGCAAACCTATTAAATGCACAAAAAAGATATATAACTCAATAAAGGAGAGGGAAAAAGTTTTTTAAAATTTTTTTACATAAACAACATACATATACAACTGTTATTTTTTGTTCGTATAGTGTCAGAGGTGTTATGCACTCCATAGTGGCCATATTTTGTCATGGCGTTACTGTTGCATTGAGATGCATTATATTATATATATGTTTATGATATTTTGTCCACGCTCCTGTGTCATTTCTATTCAGCTAATAGCTTTGTCCTAATTGCCATCTAGTCTGTTTTGTCAGTCACTGTCTATTTTGACCCCATTATACAAAGACACAGTAAACAGTGTCCCTGCTTTCCTTGTGGGGACACGAATGTATCAATTAAAATCCCTTAATATGACAGATAGTCTCCATTATGAATTAATTAATTAGTTGTAGGCTGAATCAACACATGCAGCACTGTTGTAGCTTTGTAAGGGAAAATGTTTCCCAGCAACCAGTTAGTAGGCCAGTGTATTCCTAGTGGAAGTGGGCAGTGATTTGGGATGGCCTCTTGATGATGACCAGGGCAGAAGTCCCAGTGTTCATTGACTTAATCCGGTCCTGATAATGGGTAATAGTCTGGATATATAGTAATTGCAGAAAGCCAGGGGGATTTCAGCACTGCATGCCTGCTCTATCCTTGAACCCAGTAAGTGCGAGCTGGCAGCAGCTTAATAAGAAGCCAAAATTGTCTACATAGAAAGTATAAGAGTGTTTTGATGGCGCCCTATTACATGATACCTCACCAATCATATAAATATATTGCCTCGTCTCAGAGTTATAAAGAATAAGATAAATGTTGTGGGTTAGCCTTTTCATAATCTATCCAGGTAGGTAGGGTTGTCCTTGACTGTGTTTGCTCTGAGGGAAAACAATATGGTTTCACTACATTTACTTACATTTGAGCACAAACCCTGAAACTACATTTAATTAAATCATCTTGTTTTGTGCTTTTCAGTTATGTGAGCATTTAATTCCTCCACCTGATTATTTTACAATGACGATTACAATTACATTAAGATTTTAGATTTTTTTTTACCTATTTACCCCTTTAAATTTGTAACAGTTAGGTTAAGCCATGTACAATGTAAAAGTTTGTTACGGTTATAGTAAGGCTTTCTTGAGATGTAACATTATCACAATTATATTCACAGTCAAGAACTTAATCTGATATAGGAACTTAACCTGGGCTCTCAAAGTTTAAGGGAAATGTATATGCTTGTCCATGACCCTGACATACCACCTTTACTTCACACTCCCACTGTTATTTTCAGACTTTTCAGCCTGTCTAGTCATGTCTCCGTTATATAATCTCCCGACGGTGAGAAAATCTATTTCTCTCATTTTTCCAACATGGGCTCATAATTGCATCTTAAGTCATGCTCATTTCACTAAATTTCTGGAGACCAGACTCAAAGAAAAATCATTACCATTTAAACATAAATCCTTGGGGTCACAAAACTAAGGTAAAGAGAGAGTTTGCTGGATGACTCACTGTTCACCCACATGTTTTGCAAAAAAATGGTATTAATTCTTTTACAAGGTTATACGGTTCTTCTTTATTTAACAACAAAGTATTTTATTTGCCATGTACAGTAAAAAGGCTGATGTTGTCTACAATACAGTATAATGCTTAATATAAATTTTTTGTTCTAGCATCTTTGGGGAGATATGAGGGTCAGTAATGCTTCACATGCCAGGTGGCTGTGTTTAAATTTTATGTTGCTGTGCTCAAGCTTTGTTGACGCAAATCTGCTGCTACAGCAGAGCTTGCTGGCAGTTTTTTATGGCTCCCAAAACTTACTTCATTGGCAACAAGCCTGGACAAATGTGGCAGGGGTGTCATTCTGCCACAGCCAAGAAGAACTCCACTGCACAGGGAATGTATAGTGTGTCTATGGTGGATTTTCAGTTCTGCTGAAGCCTCTCAGTGCAACTTTGTCCAGACTCAGAACAGAATATTCTAGTCATGAAATCACCTATATGGCAGCTACACTTACATTTAAATAAGAGCCTTCTTTTAAATGTAGTATAACACTATATATGCATTAAATACATCATAAAAAATTAAAACACTGACAACACCGCATTATATAGTACAATTGTACATTGCTCTCTTTCTCTGTCCCAAAGGCGGCTCCTTCAAGCAGCTAAGAAGGCCAATCAAACAGGCCATTTCATCTGGGTGGGTTCAGACAGCTGGGGCTCTAAAATCACCCCAATACTGAACCAGGAAGAAATGGCCGAAGGTGCTGTCACCATCCTACCCAAACGACAGTCCATCAAAGGTATTCATAAAATACTAAATTAAATCTTGATACTTCTGTCCCTTTTCTGCTTATTGTGTATGTTTGCCCCCACTAATCATATCTCCCTTCTACATTTAAGATAAATTCATTTTAATGACTGCTTCAGATGGGCCATTTGTGTGTTTTGCTGTCTACTGTTTCCTACCACTTAAAGCCACACTGGATATAAAATGTTGCGTCATTGCTGTTACTTACCTTTCATTTTGATTAAATGAATATTGTACCAATTGGATATATTTTCCTTGTGCTATTATTCCATAATATGTTGGTAAAGTATGAATAAATTATTCTATGTGTAAATGAATATGCATTCATAAACTAGAGCAAAATAGCCATGTGAGGAAAAGAATAATTAGGCTAGGCTTTGAGTAAATACTCAGCCAGGGCAGAGAAGTAGTCTACATTTTGCATATTAAAGGTTTAAAGATATTATGTACAGTGTTTCCCCTAGGATGGAGTTGTAGCAGCGGAGGTGAAGCGGAAAAGAAATTTGTGCGCATAGTGTGAATGCTGTATGTCTGAATATAAAACCCCAATACAACATGTCTCAGCAATGGTGCTGTTGTGTCCATGAGCAAGTGATTTACATTAGAATAGCTTAAAATTGTGTTTTCCCATAGTCTTACATGCACATATTTGGTGGTGATGGGCTGGGATGGGGGGTTTGGGGGCTCTAATATTTTCCTCCACACGGAATCATGTCACTTTCTGCCGCACGGACAATCAAACGCTCGCTAGGCACGTTCTGATTCAGAGTTACACTATATAACATCAACTGTCACGTAGATGTTCTGTGAAGAATGAGAAGAGGAAGCTGGCCAAGCATTGAGTGTTACCTTGGCCGCACAGTGAGTTAGTTAGTTTTGTATTTACATTAGATTCCGTTTAGTTTCGTCTGACGAAAGTAACACTAGTGATTAACCACATTTTTTGAAAAGCTTAGTTAAATTTACTTTCCCACACCCAGGCCTACTTATTGCCAGACCTATTGAATCAAGAAATCACCTAAAAGTAACTTTTCTGACAAAGTGAAGTAGGCTAAAAGATCTCAAAAAAACAACACAAATCAACCCACGATCTAAAGAAATTCAAGAACATATGAGAAACAAAGTCGTTGACATCTATCTGTCTAGGAAGGGTTACAAAGCTATTTCTAAGGCTGTGGGACTCCAGCAAACCACGGTGAGAGCCATAATCCACAAATGGAGAAAACTTGGAAGAGTGGTGAGCCTTCCCAGGAGTGGCCACTGGCCAGCCTACCAAAATTACTCCAAGAGCCCACTGACAACTCATCCAGAAAGTCCCAAAAGAACCCAGAACAACATCTAAAGAACTGCAGGGCTTACTTGCCTCAGTTAAGGTCAGTGCCCTTGGTTCAACAATAAGAAAGACACTGGGCAAATGGCATCCATGGGAGAGTTTCAAGGCGAAAACCACTGCTGACCAAAAATAACATGAATGAATCTCAAATTTGCCAAAAAAACATCTTAATGATCCCCAAGACTTTTAGGAAAACAATTTTTGAACTGAGACAAAAGTTTAACTTTTTGGAAGGTGTGCGTCCCGTGAAATCTGGCGTAAAACCAACACAGCATTTAATAAAAAGATCATCATACCAACAGTCAAACATGGTGGTGGTAGTGTGATGGTCTAGGGCTGCTTTGCTGTTTCATTTCCTGAACGACTTGCCGTAATTGATGGAACCATTAATTCTGCTCTTTACCAGAAAATCCTAAAGGAGATTCACCAGCTATCAGTTCATGACCCCAAGTTCAAGTGCACTTGAGTTAAGCAGCAGGACAATTATCTGAAACACACCAGCAAGTCCACCTCTGAATGTCTCAAAAAAAACTCCCACAAAATGAAGGTTTCGGAGTGGCCCTCTAGTGTGGCTGAATTAAAACAATTCTGCAAATTAGAGTGGGCCAAAATTCCTCCACAGCGATGTGAAAGACTCATTGCCAGTTATCACTCTTGACTGCTGTTGTTTCCGCCAAGCGTGGCAACAACTGCAATCATCTTTTAAAAACTGCATTTTGTATTTCCTTCGGTTATATTTGTCTAATATTAAAAGTTGTTTGATGATCTGAAACATTTCAGTGTGACAAAGATGCAAAACACTAAGAAATCAGAAAGAGGGCAAACACTTTTTCACAGCACTGTACATACTGTATGTGTAAAAAAACGTTAATAGTTTCAATTCTAACGGCATCTTATGTCTTTCAGGTTTTGATCGCTACTTCATCAGCCGAACACTAGAGAACAACAGACGGAATATCTGGTTTGCAGAGTTCTGGGAGAATAACTTCCAATGCAAGCTTAGTCGGCACGCTGTGAGGAAAGGATCTGGCATCAAGAAATGCACAAGTGAGTTTATACTTTATAGTAGAGAAGGCACTTGGTCAATGGAAAGCACTCAATCAATGACCAAGTATATTTACTGGGTCTCCTGTGAACACATTATGTGTGTGTGTACTTAGTATGCATAGGTAAATGTATTTGTCATCAGGGAGAAAACAATAACGCTCCTCCAATTTAGGTTAAATGTAATGGGTGTAGATAAGTGAATGGGAATCTCTAATTTCATAGGTAAATGTTCCCATTACTTGTCTGTTGGCTAGTTCAATTTGGAGTGGGCGACTATAGCAATCACAAACTACGCCACCGCATGTGCTGAAAAACATAATCAATAGTAAATCCAATCAGCCCATTAAAAACAAGCTTTCAGGTCGTTAAAATCAGTCTCCCATCCCACTGTGCAGTGCTACATTGCATTTCAAGTAGTCCAGGCTGGCACCTGTAATGTTTCTAAGCAGTACATCTCTCTCCCTCTCTCCCTCCCTACCTCCCTCCCACTACATGTATTCTTTGCTTTTGAAAAAAGTCGATCGGCTTGTACAGTTGCACCTGCCCTTCACAAGTCCAGCCTTGGTAACTATTACTGCTCATGTTAAGAGTCCAGTCCACCACATAGACTGTGTGCTGCTTATAGAGACATTATTCAGTTATATGTACTATTCTAAACATGTCTGGTGAAGGACATATGCAGTAAAGTACTAGTGTGATAGTGTTTAGAAGAGATGTGACTTTCTAATACAGCTGATGTAATGTAGGCCATGCAACCTCAAAATGTCACCAAATGCCATAGGAGACTTAATAAATTGGTACAACACATGAACAGGCAAAACTAAACAGTTAAGCAGAGATTTAATTGTCACCTCCCTTGGTCAAAGAGAGAGGTACTTCCAACAATCCACACTTGCAGGTTTCAGAAGAACGCTAGCTTAAATGATTTCTGTATTTATCAGTTGTCATGGTGGCTGCTCTTGAGCTAAATTGCTGCAGGCCTTTTCCTTCCTCTGAGTAGCCTCTGGGGCACAATAAATATTCTCTCTCTTTTTTCTTTTTTTTTTTTTTTACAGGCAAGAGATACAATCATTTCACTCAGAGCCTATCACTATCCTCCCCATTCTTCCCTTTGTAAACATAATCACTTCATGTCCCAACTTTTGTGTAGACAATACATAATTTGTCAAGTTAGAGGTAAATTGCAGGAGAAACTTTTGACCTCAAAATATGTTCAAATTTAGTAATTTAAGTAATGTAGAGCCTTCATAAAGTTAACTTTAAAAAAAAAAAAAAAACAACAGCAAAGAGTAAATTCCTCTCTTGAAAAATCTGTGGAGGATGGCAATCAACCATCAGGGACTGCACAATTATATTCTTAAAGTACTAACATGATTAAATGGGCATGTAATTATTATATTTGTGTGATATCAAAGTCTTTAATACAACGCACAATACAAGTCACTGGCAACTGATTTATGCACCGTAACAGCAGGGTAGTAACAGGTCAAGAGTATCTGACTTGGACAGAAAGGAAAGCAACACAGAGTGCAGATGTATAATTCACGTCCTACTGCTGCTCTTTTTCCCCGTGTGCTTGTATCTGCTGCCCCAGAGGCCAATATTTTCTTTGTATCTTCAGATCTACATTGTCACCCCCAAACCACAGGCTATTTTTATTGCTCTGTGTGGATATTCCCAGAGTGCAGCTTTCAGGGGTGCCTAAAGAGGCCATAAGCTGCCTAACTTATTTCTCTACATGTGTACATGTCCCCACTTGCCAGTTTTTAAGGACACTGAGCTAAACAGTCTTGAAGGTCTTGAATAGAGCTGCAACAATTAATCAAATAATAGATTAGATGTTAGCTACTAAATTAATCACCAACTATTTTGACAATTAATTAATCAATTTGAGTCAGATTTTTAAAAGAAAAAAAAACTATCTGATTCCAGCTTTTTAAATTTTTCCTCTATGAGAGTTAACTGAATGTGTTTGGGTTGTGGACAAAACAAGATATTAGAGGATGCCATCTTGGGCTTTGGGACACATTGATGAACATTTTTTACCACTTTCTGACATTTTATAGACTAAACAAGAAATTGATCGATACTCAATTTATGATTAATTTGGGGGATGTGGTTTGTGTTGCTGTTGCGTTGCACTGTACTGCGTTACACCGAGAGGTGTCTCTGTTATTTAGTCTAACTTCAATGATATAAATGAGGAGGATATAATAATATAAACTGTCAGTATGTTAGAACCCTGTAAAAAGGATCCTAAATATGTACATAATGGTTATATACATGATATCATGCTAAAAACCCGAGGCTAAAGCTGCATGTCCAGGGCACAAGTTGATGATCTATGAAGATGACGAGTAAATAAAGAAACAGCATTGTCCTTATGCTGCAGTGTAGAGCCAGTTAGTCCTAGTAATGATAAGGAAATATGTCTGATCAGACTGTTATGTTTAAACATAACCACGTTTGGGTGCTTAGTTTACAAACTTGTTGTGTTTTCACTTTTAATGTAGCAAGAGAAAAGGCTTTTAGGCTTCTAGGACGAGCTTCTAGACTAACCAAAGAGTTTGGCAAATGTAGAGCTAAGCTGGATAAAGAGTTTGGCTGGAGATGCTGGAGTGTAAACTTTGCCAAATCCAACTGAGCAGGACTCAAATCTCAAGACAGACATCGCTTATAAGAAACAGATATGCCACATAAATGTATACTCTTCTCAGCAAATGAATTTGGTCACATTTTACCAAAACATTTATATAAGCTAACTCCTTTTGTGTTTCAAATTTGAAAACTGTGCCATGAACTTTATAAAAGGGCGCACTCAGTTTGCCCTCTCTTCTTTTATGACCTGTCTATCAGCAACCCCAGAATTAATACATGTGGGTGGGGTGTAGGAAATATAATTGTCAAGTTTGCTATTTGATCTACTCAGAGCTTTCACTGTACAACACATTATTTCACGCTACCGAACCATAAAACATGATCCTGTTTTGCAGAGCAGAATGAATGAGATTTGGCTGACGCAACCGAGAACTTGTGAAAAAAAAGAGACAAATTTGTATAAGAGAAAGATGTCGCACAGAATCATGGCATGATATTCTCCTTTCTCATCACAGTTGCGCTGGACAGTAACGAGCCGGGCTGACACATCAGTCACAATTACTGTGGAGTGAGCAGACAAACTCTAGTCCTTAAATGTGCCTTGCTGAAAATGCTACTGAATTAAAGCAAGACAGTGCTTTAACAAAAGCATCATTCATATTTTTGCATCCTTAAATATGAATCATTTAAGGAAAGTATAATACAGTGTGGAGCAGTTTGCCAACAACCCAGCCATTTCATGCAGCATTTCCTATAATAAAGGTTTTCGGTTTGGCAGAGATGACAGCCTCTGCAGGTGTGATGCTTCTTGTTGACGTCATTTCAGCACACATTGAGGTTCACAGTTTGAGTTTGAGTGAAGCACACTGGCTTGAGTCACTCTGCTGCTTTGCCTCCCTGCAGATATTAGTCATCAAGGCTGCCAGAAAACAAATACATGCTTCTCCATTATCTGATGTCCATTTCTCATTGAAAACATCAAGGACACCACAAGCAGCGTTCAACACCATTTTGATTCTCTTGAGATGTAATGCAAATGTCAAGGTTCACAAGATAAGCCAAGTAACAACAAAGAGATGTTCACTGTTGGGAAATTATGATTGACCTGCAGTGTTTTAGAATAATTACTGTGTGTACGATAGTAATAGCGAATTTGTTATATTCAATTTCTTTTATAGACACTGCCTATAATTAATTCTTATTTAAAAGCAGGCAGTTAGAGCAATACAAACTCTTTTGATATCCATAGTTTGCAGCTGCAACAATGACTTTATTTCATCTGACCAAGCATGTCTTTGGAAACTATGATGACAAGCACTGTCAAGCACTGCGGTCTATTTTTGTCCCCTGGGTGATGATGCCCAATCTTCTTAATTAGAATAAGAAAATGGGAGGGGTTTGCAATGGTTGTCAACTAACGTTTGTCAAACCCCTCACTAGTCCACATAGAGATCATATTAAATATAATTTTAGAAACTTTCATGTCAAAATCGTGCATGTCATCAACTTTGGACATCACCCAGTGCTTGTCCCAAACCACAGAGGCTGACAGTACCATGTTATTGTATGTTTTAGTCTTAGTAACAGGCTTGGGCTGTATTTTACTTTGTCATACCTTCCTATCTAGACGGTAGTTGCTCTGTGAGCAGCGGAGTTGTGTGTCGAAGGGAAGCCAGCAAATGTTAATGAAGCAGGAATAAAGATCACAATCATATGATCTGTTTCTAGGACGACAAGCAGCCCAGTGTCCCTGGTACACCCTGAAAGTGGCAATGTTACCTGATTTTGCGTTTATTTATGTCTATTTGTTTAGTATTTTGCACAGAAGTCCATAAGAAAAACAATTAAGAATACTAAGAATAATTAGAAGAATTAATCTAACTTAAAACCTTTTTGTACATAATGCATGTCTACGAAGAAATAAAAATATAAAATTAATATAAATATACTGAATGGTGGAGACGGAATCATGCATTATTCTGAACCGTGGGCCGAGTGTATCGTTACCCCCCCTAAAGTGTATGTCAAAATGAACTGTGCCCTGGTCTAAAAAGACCTAGTCTGCTTTATCATCTAACCACGAGTTGGACAGATGGCAAATAATTTTCAGCATCACAAAGAAATAAATCACAGTGTGCACGAGTAATGAAATGAAATTTTTGCACCCCTCTACCTCGAATGAAAGCTAGGCAAAAAACACATTCTCCATTCAAAGGAATATTGCGAGCAAGAGCATACAGTGTGACCTGGAGCTTTCTGGATCATTGTGTTCTTTCAGAATCTCAAGGTCTGCCTTGATGAAAACTCGTAGAGCACTGACAAAAAGATACAGTAGAAAGGTTTCATCTTCATCCACATCAACGCTTGTTGTGCACTACTGACTAACCTTCCCACAGCACATC